TCTGATGAAAAATCGGTTCAACGAAAACCGCTAGAAAGGTATCAACGGTCAACCGGTAACCGCTGTGAATTTAACGCGAACCGTTACGATTCGATAACCGTTACATAATTAACTGTCCGGAGTCTTATTGTGATTTTCTCAAATCTCCACATGCTCAACATTGAACTACAGTGTTATAGTGCAGTGCAGTGTTAATTTGTTTATTCTAGATGATTTATTATTATAACTGTTTCATTACAGAGTACAACTCGGTACTATTCGTTGATATAAACAGATGATTAGTACAACTTGGTGTTGTATTTACTTTTACGATAGGCTCTAAGCAGAAGCTAGAATATGCTCTTGGTTGTACCAAGTACATCATACGCATTTGATCTGATCCCATGCACTGATGACGCGCGATTACATAAACATACGCGGATGAGTGCAGATCAAACGCTTTGATCATTTTTTGCAAAGGATTCAAAGCGATCTTTCATCTGATTATAGTTTCAACTAATGTGTCAATATAGTGAAAGTGTAATGTGTTATTATGTGACGCATGATCTGTATCGATACCTTAACGTGCTAACGATGTTCGTTGGAATGACTTTTTTTATACACACATCACAAACAGAAAAAATAAATAAAATCCGAGATCAAATGGATGTTTAAATAAAATTCATCACGATATTTCAAACACATTGTTTTGTATAAAAAATTAACGTAGATTTAGCTTTTACAAATTCCATCAACTTCTTACAGTAACTAAACAGGTGCGATTTAAAAAAAGGCAAAATCCTAGGACACTGGAGAATGAATTCACTAAAGCCTTATGTAACCAAAGAAAAGAAAAACAAAATAACAATTTGCAGAAAGACTACGTCACAAGACCACGATATGAACTTCATTCTCGATCGAATTTATCTTTTAAGAAGACTGTATAAGCTAAATTCTCAGCTGAAAGCTTTGTTCGTTCTTTGCGAGCCACGTACGCGGAGCAAGAGAAAGCACTTTCACTAGCAACACTTGTTGCACATGTAACGAGGTGAACTTTCGCTAAATGCCATAATTGTGGTAAAAGTATATGATGAGATTTCCAAAACTCAACTGCGGCTGTTGTCGAAGGTTTTCTTTTTGCGTTGAAATCCTGTACAGCTGCCCGAAAATACTTCAATTCTTCAATGAGACCAACGCGTTTGCTTTTTTCTCTTGTAGTTTCACGCTCAAAATGGTCTTGACCGCATGCCGCAATAAAATCATCATAAGTTGATCGCTTCAGCAATGCAGATTGTGGAACTGACTGATGCACTTGAGATTGTGTTGTTGATGATGATGGAATCGTGTTAGTTGGCAATGAAGTTTGAGTCGAATCCAACTGAGAAGCTCTTTGAGGATAAATATCGCCTAGTATCAAATTCTTGATATATTTCTCACATTGAGTTTTTTCATTGTCGTTCAAACTAAGATGTGCAACTGGATCAAAAAATGCATGTTTCTAAAAGCAAAACATAAGTTGAGTATGACATTGGCATATTTCATGCTCTGAGAAGTTCTATACTGAATGAAGCAGATCAGAATATCTTTGGTGATCAGTTTGGTATCCAAAAGCAACTACGACTCATAGAAACAAGTAACTAAATACAAAGGATCACTACATGTAACTACTGTCATCACATTTATCTGACAACTTAATGCGCCTCACTACGTACTCTCCTGATGAGCTCCAATACTACCAGTAGTTTTAATCAAGTATGAATTACCTGAAAGTGATCGACTTGTTCCTCATCTTGATAAAAGTATTTGCAGATCTTGGACAATAATAATTTTTTAAATGCATTGACGTGCTCATTTCCACCATCGTCAACTTCACAAAAATGTTTCAATTTTTGTATTGCGTGATAAGTCAAGCCAATAGATGGATAATTCTTGCCAGACATCATAACCGTCGCAAGAGCGAACGGATTTAATACACGGTTTAATGATACTAAAAAGTCCCAATCGTTATTGTCCAATTCAATCGCAGATAATTTGTCAAGTTGTTCTTTCCGTAATTTCAAACTTCGTTTTTCAAGAAATAATTTCATCAATAAGTGTTTCATTGTAATAATGGACTCAATTAACATTGACGTAGAATTCCATCTGGATTTGCAGTCATTAGATATTTTTCGATTTGTCTTATTTGATGATACGGATCGAAGAAAGTTCGAAATAATCGACGATTTTCTCGATATAGTTGCAATCGAACGGCATTTTTTCAAAACATTTATAATCAATTCCACGACATCAGCAGCAGGTACATTGGTATCAATAGTTGTCGACCAGTTATCACAAATTAAATTGAGATCTTGTCCTTCGGTATCAGAATCATCATCGTCTTCTGAATTAGGTTCATCTTCCAGCTCCATTTCTTTTTCACTGTCGTTCGCATCAACCATTACCACGTCGTGAGCATCCATTCCATTGTATGCTTGGTCAAATAAGGAGTCATCTAAAAGAATTTTTTTATAAAGTAAGGATAACAAAATCCTATTTTTGCTTCTGCTATTTTTTATCCATGATCAATGTTGGCATGCTTATATATCGATACAAAAAGAGAGAAAAGAGACATAGGACAATATGTGTCATACAAAATATTGTTCCTTTCCATGCCAGAAAGTGACTGAGCTGAGACTATGAAACCTCGACCTCTTATATAAACAAAGAGTTCATGTGTGTGAAATTTTGATAAAGATAAAACATTACCTGATTTTGATAAGTTTGATGCGTTGACAGGGATACAATCTTCTTGTTCCTTCGCAGTAACGTCATTCGTTGTCACTGAAACTTCTTGCCATTTATCAATTGATTCGTTAGTATTGGCTTTCTTCTGCTTGTTCCAAAATCCCAAAGCATTAATTATAACCAAATGCAACCGATGAGCGGAACACCAAATACGTTTGATGCGTCCATCAAGTTTTAGACACGCAGCCACTACGTTTTCGCCGCCATCGCAAGTGATGCTAATAACTTTATGATATATTCCTAATCCATTGAGACTTTCCTTGATACAATGAGCAATATTAATAGCTGTGTGCCGCTCATTAAAAGATGAAAAATGAATAATTTTCGAAATGTATTCGACCTTGTCGTTGTACCAATGGCCCGTAATACAAAGATATGAGATTAGCGAACGACTGGACCAAAAATCTAATGTCAAACCGATATAATCAATTGATTGGAGTTCTTCTTTCAATAAGTCATATTGACGATGGTACATACGGCGCAGTTGATTGGAAATTTGATTACGGTGAGGAGGAAGATAACCTACGAGTACAAAACGCGTCATGTGTAGTATTATATCGTGATAGTTCGCTTCTCAAGAGAGATTACGCTCAATAATTAGCCATCAGCCAAAAAACAACAGATTTATCACAGTGCGTAGTCGCAGCTTAGCATAGCTTATTCTAACTCGAATCAAACTATTTCCATGATGTATCTAATTTCGACTTTTTGAAATCAGGTATTTTTTACTTAGAAACGCTGGCTTTACCTGGACAGATTTTGTTGAAAACAGCTAAAATTCCTGTTTTCCGCAGATCGTTGAAAGGTCGATTATCAGTCACGATGGCTTTGTAGCATAAATCATGTAGTTGACGTTTATATCCTTCAGAAATTGTTGATTTTGTATGAGGAACCTGTTGAGCTGTAATGATCAAATCAAGTTTATTATGCCGACGAATCAAACGATGACGAATCGCGGATGTTGAATGACCCGAAGTAGTACACGTGAAGTTGCATATTTTGCATGTAGCCGATTTTCCATCATCAGCTTTCGTAGCATATTGCCAAACAATCGATGTAATCTTCCGGCCATTGGGATTATTATTATTATTTGAAGGCTGCATCGATGCACAGTTCACCGGTGACATTGCGATAACGTCAACGTCTAACGATGGTTCGATTGCTTGATTGTTATCATTCAACAATGGCGACGAAGCGGTAATTGTTGTTGGAACAATACGACAATTGTCTGCTGCTGGCGCTGACAAAATGTTATCACTTGTAAATGATTTGAGATTAGCATCGTTCGACGTCGAAGGTGTCATTGCCGTATTTGCAATTGATTGAAGTACAGAATTATCATTGTCACTGTTTGATACTGTCAGTACAATATTGTTATCAGAAAGCTTTGATGTTTTATCGGTGTTGCTCAACGTAGTAGTGACTGCATTGTTTTCGTTCGATACAGGAGATTTTCTCTTCGGCAATGGTGTCAATGAATCGAAGTTTTCATCATTTTCAATTTCAAGAGCTGAGCGAGATTTCGCGACAGTTTTCTTCTTATTAGCTTTCATCGCTCCTGTATTTTATCTAAAGAAAAGAGGAAACCAACATATATTTGTGCAGAGACTGTTACAGAGCTTCGATATACTCTTTTGGAAAGATTCTGTTTTGTTTACGAAAAGATAAATGCTTTTATATGCACCGAAGAGAAAAGAAAGAAAGATATACTATTCTTCTCTGTGAAGGACGAGATGATATCTTCGATCCTTTGTTTACATGTGTCGATATCGAGGGGAGGAGAATCGGAGAAAGGAGATTTTGTGCCACCAAGCGGACGAATATTTGCCGTCCGTTTACATATACAAAGCCCTTTGTGATGTTCAATAGAGAATAAACGATTTCAAGCGGGACCATGCGATAAGCAGTATGTAAGAAGGAATGTATTAGCAAATATAATTACATCGTCGTCTTGAAGTCTAGAAGTAAACTCATGTGTAATTTTCTCGTTTCGGGAAAAAACTAAAATAAATTACAGACAACGGACAATATGAGTTGAAAACAAAGAAGGTCTTTACTATGTCTTTATTCATATTTGACTAGGAAAACAATTATCACTTGGAAGTAGACTTATAAACATGTCATAGAAGTAGATCGAAATGATTCGTTTGAAACTTATATTTGAACACACAACTACAAATAGTTCTACGCTTAGCTTATGCCAAATTATTCGAGATGACTACATGATTGCAAATCCTACTTCGGAGTCTGTCAAGATCCGTGTGCAAACATGAAAGTTTATATGATACTATACTTTCACAAGTCATGACTAACATCAAAAAGTATTATTAAAGAGTCTTATATTTTTTAAAACAGATGTTATAATAAAAACGGTTACTGGCTCACGACGGTTACCGGTTCACCGTTTAATCGATTTGTAGCGGTAACCGTTAAACCTCATTTTCATCAGACCCGGTTATCGTTAAACCTCATTTTCATTAGACCCGGTTATCGTTA